ATATGCTCAAAGTGTATAAATGTGAATTTATGTACAAAGTGCTACATGTCTGATAAGCATGATGTTCACCATCATTTCTTCAGACTACAAACACCAACTGATAAAATCAATTACGAGTTAGAAAGTTGTTTTCTTTAGATATTTTGATTTATAAGACCTATTGCCTTATATTTTTTTTGATTTGGTTTCATTATAACTCCAATCACACTTTACTACTTGTATCACAAAAAAGAAAGCCACTTCCCACGCGAGCCAAATCGAAGAAGATTGAATGTTCAGGTGCTTTTGTTGGGTCCATCGTTGAAAGGGGCTTTGATTGGAGTTGGGATGATCAGGATGGTTATAATAATTCTCCTCACATGTTTATTGTGAATATATTTTTCACAGAAATAAGTTTCATGTTTTTGAAATAATTTGGTTCAAAATAATAATTTAATGGTCAATTTTTTTAGGTTGTAAAAGTTAACTACAAAAATCATTCATGATAATCAGCAATTGATGACATTTTCAGGAGGTCCTGGTAGTAAAGGTCAAGTCATTGAAATTCAGAACTGGGGCAGTGAATCATCCAACAGTGTTGCTAAAGTAGTTTGGGAGAACAACCCAACATTATCCAATGTCTACCGCATGGGACACAAGGGCAAGGTTGATTTGAAAGTTAGAAAACCAACTTCGGGGGGATTATATTATAAAAGCCATTTGCCTAAGTTAGGTAATTAAGATGATTTGTACAACTGGTTTGTAGTGCTTACAAGATGCTTGGTTATGTATATTTTTATCAACCTTAAAAACTCTCCTGTTTTTATATATTTCAATTGATAAAAACTCCAAATTTATAAGATTATTAACTTGCTTGAGTATTTCAACTTTAGTATTAGTGTTTAGTATTGTTGTCTAGTATTAGTATTTAGCATTGTTGACTTTAGTATGGCTGGTTAAGTTGCCAGTAGTCTGCCTCTTCTTCTCCTTTTGATAGTAGCAGTTCTTGACAGGTCCAACAATTGAATGCTCACGATGAACTGATGCTTACTTGCTGATTGTTTTATAAAAGGCTTGCGACAAGGTGTGCAGAGAATTGGTTATATGATTAATGCAGGTTAATGAAGTTGGGTGAAGCATTAAGTTACGTGTGTTTGTAAGG